AGTAAAAGAAAGAGAGAAGAACGAAATAATAAAAAATGGCGGAAATGAAAAAAAAAAACAACAACAAAAAACAGCACAATTTCGAGCACAAACGATGGTCGAGACTTGCCCGAAATAGCCATTCTGTGTCAACTCCCCTGTTTGTCAACTTCAGCTCCCGCCAACCCCACTCCTTCACATTTTTTGTTGTCGCATTCTCGGATGTTAATTACCGCTGACACGGAACATCACGTGACCCCTCCACATACATTATCGTTACTCTATATCGAATACACTTTGAAGTTATGAGTAAAGTATCGGTAGTCGACCAATCAAATTATCGCCTCTGTTAAGAAAGCCTCGCTCAGTCTCAATAAAAATGATTCACTCTCATTGCCTAAAAAAAAAGAAAAGAAAAAAAGAAGCTGTTTATTTTTATGATCTCTTACAAGCCATCCTCCAACTGGTGAAAGCCCTCAAGAAGAGTATCAAGCTGCTGTCTCGTATGTTAGTATGGGCATTGGACGAATGAAGTGTTATGGCACATCGACTCTGATATAAATCATCAAACTCTTTATTAGCTTGAGTCAGAAATGATTTCCATTTCTATTTATCAATTTTATTCTTCATAAAATAAAGTTTCATTATGTTTTATTCAATTATTGCCACCATTACCTGCAATGACATGTCATTTATCAGAGAGCTTTTCCATAACCATTTAAGTAGATACCTCCAAAGATTCGTTAAAAGATAAGTATACATGTCAGTCAGTTATGTGCCATGCGTGATACACGCTTAGGCGATCATTTATCTTTCGATACATGACTAACGAGGTAGATTTTTTTTACCTGCAGTAGGTTACCATTTCTTTCTGCGGTGCACCAGTGATACACGTTTAGGCGATCATGTATCTTTCGATACATAATTGGCGATAGGTTGATAGGTCATGACTGACTTTCTTTCTGCAGTAGACCAGTTGTCCTGCTATTTAGCCATATCTGGGGGGAAGAAGAAGAGGATTCATACCATTCCCAAGGGTATTAGCACGTAACTAGAATTCGAACTCGGCTCTCCGATTCCTCAAATTATACATTATAAAATAAAATTATTCAAGGATATGTACAGCTCACTTTTCATGGAGGGTCGGAGAGGTGCAATTTCTTTCCGCGGTAGACCAATTCCCATCCAGAGAAGAGGATTCATACAGTTCTCAAGGGTACTTGCACGTAAGTGAATACAATGGATTTGACTGGAATTCGAACTCGTCTCTCCGGTTTCTCAAGCGGAGCCGCTATCCATTACTCCACCGTGCCTCCGACGTGCATGAGTGTATAAAGTACATGAATTATACATAACAAAGTGTAATCATTAAACTCTTTATTATTAAGAGGAAAGATCAAAGGAATTTTTATGTAAAAATAATATTTCTAATCCTTGATACGTTACATTCGGTTCCCCCAAAACGGAAATTACTTATGACTGAGCGTAATAATAAATATCTGTTTTTTTGTTTTTCAATCACATTGTCTGTTTTTTTCACTCGCATTATACACAGAACGACTTACAACTGCTAAAGATGGAAGTGAAATAGTCGGCTTCCTTTACCGCTCCAGTAAGTACCTGACTCCACGTGCTATCCACTACCTTTACAAGAGCCAGATCAGGCAAAAAATGGAGAACTGTTGTCATAATTAGGCTGGAGCTGCACATGAACGCACTCTCCAGTCTCTACAGAGTCCAAAAGCGTTTCCGAGTCCTTGTGGGTGACGAATTAATCCTCACCCTCCAACTTCTCTCTCACAGGCGGGATGTGGCAAGCCTCTCGCAGCTATGTGGCTACTTTCACTTTTTCGAACGAACTACATTCCTGGGTTCAGCCAGTTCAAACCTTCCCGGCAACGACCCACCATGCCACTCACGTTGTAGCAAACCACTCACATTCCCTCCGTATTTAATCGGTGAAAAGTAAGTTCTATTCGTCCCGTGAATCACTTCCCTGTGGAACCGGCTCCCAAGATTATGCTTCCCCGATCACTACAATCTTAATCTGTTCAAGTCTAGGGTTGACCGTTACCTTCCTCTCCTATCCGTACAAACTGCTTCCTAACCCTCTACCACTCTAATTTAATTCTTTCAAAATCTTCAACAAAGGCTTTACACACCGGACGTACGAATAAGGAGATTTTTTATACATATTTCCATATCCCTCTGTTTCCTTTTCAAAAGAAAGGATATTAAAATAATCCAGAACTCATACTGACAGCAAACCACCTGCATAGAGATAGAAAATGAATTCAGTAAATATACAAAAATAGAAACGGGTATAAGACAAAGCTTTATCTTCACACTGGACTTATTTAACCTATAAAGTGAAGCGATTCTGAGAGATTTAGAAGTCCTACCAGAATTCATTATTGGCGGCCACAGTCTTATCACTATAAGATATGCATATGACATAGTGTTGATGAACACAGGAAATAAACTACAAGAAGGTAATGATGGAAAGCGAGTAGAAAAGGTGTAAACATCAATCGCGAGAAAACGAAATGCATGGTTGTTAGCAAAAGTGACAGTTCGGCCTGCGCATTACATATCGGGGATACCAAAATCAGAGAAGTAAAACAATTTGGGAAGTGTTTTAATAAAAGGACGGAAAGTGTGACACCAAAATTCGAAGTCAAATTGGGACAGCAAAATATGCCTTTCAAATGTTAAGCAGTGTATTTAACAAACAGAAAAATAAAATATTACTGAAATGTTACCTAATACCTGTCTTCTTATATGGCAGTGAGAGTGGGTGCTGAACAATCTCACAGATTGTTATATAGGAATAAAATGTCGCTGCCGACACTGGAGTTTGAACACAGATCACAATAGAGCAAACACAGGCGATCCCATTTTAGAATAAGTAAATCACGTGATGGTAAAGGAAATGTATATGTGGGAATTAGCTTGGCGTCTAAGTGATCACTATCCGGATTACTTCTGAAGTTTGCTGGTCAAACTCTCTGCCTCCGGGCAGAGAGGATCCCCAGACAAGGCTATGCCAAAGGGCGGAGTCTCGTCTGGGGTGGTAGACAGCTACCCGACCACGTTTTTACGGGGTCTACGGGGAATCTTTAGTTTATAGTGGGGTATCCGAGCCCGTAGTCTCGGATACCCCACTATAAACTTGACCTTTGGCCGCATCTGACCGCGTGGGGCAGTTAGTGAATATCTTACTATCCGGATTACTTCGGAAGTGTCCTGGTCAAACTCTCTGCCTCCGGACAGAGCGGAACCCAGACGAGGCTGCGCCGAAGGGTAGAGTCTCGTCTGGGGGTGGTTTTTACGGGGTCTACGGGGAATTTTTGTCCGAGCCTACGGGCTCGGATACCCCACTATAAACTTAGCGTTGTGCCGCATCCGACCGCGTGGGGTGGTTTGTCAATATCTCTCTATCCAGATTACTATGGAAGTGTCTTGGTGAACTCTCTGCCTCTGGGCTGAGAGGATCCGCAGACGAGGAAATTGTGGAGAGCCATTATCACCAACGTCCTGCAAAAACACGGTACATAGAAGAAGAAAGTAATAAAATGTTGTTATATATATATATATATAATATTGTAATTTTATTTCTGTCTTCTATTCGAGAAAACATTCCATACGCCCAAAGGCTATCAATATGCCTTCGCTCACATAATCAAAGAAATCATAAAACCGTTATAACCCTGCAACATCAAGGGGTATTTCCGTAACAAAATCTTTTTTCAATATATATGGTGGACTCTCCTGTCGTATGAGGGTCAAGCAGCTCAGATCCTAGGAACCGACAGCCAGTCACCAGCACATATGATTTGATTATAGTGGTGAAGGCTTTGTGAAGAACCATCCACACTTTTTGAAGGGCTGAATACAGAGACCTGGTGCACTACGTGCCACAATGTCCTCAAACGACCCTTCGCAGGTTTTGAATTCAGAATTGTTGTTCTCCTAGACATGTTGCCATCCAAGTCCATCCTGCTATTTCCCCATGTCTGGAGGGACAAGAAGAGAATTAATACCTTTCCCAAGAGTATTAGCACATAAGTGAATCTATATATATATATATATATATATATATATATATATATATATATATAATTCATATATATATATATATATTAGATTCATCTAATATATATATATATATATATATATATATATATATATATATTAGATTCACTTCGACAGGAATCGAACCTGTATCCTAAACAAATGTAAACAAATGACGAACGCCCCTCTGTGGCGAAATCGGTAAAAAGCACGTCAGGCTATATAACGGTTCCGTATAGGATACAGGCCGGTAAATGTTTTTAATGCTGTTTATTATAAAACAGATCATTTACTTAAATATTTGTATCTATAAAAAAAAAAGAATGTATGAACATAAAAATGCCTTAAAATAATTGTCGAACTTTGTCCATTTCATAATGTGTGACGCCATTTGTTTACATTTGGATACGCATCAAGCAGATATGAATGTACGTGAGAAAATCATGGAAAATTGTAGTTTAAAAACAGTAAAATCGGCCTTGCTAACCGGACGCTCCTCTGTGGCAAAATCGGTAAAAGCAGGTCAGGCTATATAACGGTTCCACATAGGATACAGGTTCAATTCCTGTCGGAGAACGCACATTTAAATGTTTTTAATACTGTTTATTATAAAACAGAGCATTTACTTAAATATTTGTATCTATAAAAAAGAATGTATAAACATAAAAATGTCTTAAAATAATTGTCGGACTTTCTCCATTTCATAATGTATTAATGTATATATATATATATATATATATATATATATATATATATATGAAAAAGAAAATAAAGAGCCAATAGATGATATTATGATTCAATGGTTGTTCCAGCCACAAGATCGGGCAATCAAAGAAAGAGGTCAAGTAGCTGCAGATTTACATTTCGGCAAGATATCCTGTCTGGAACGAATCTTTGTTATGTTTGATAAATGTGAATTCTAAGGGCCACTGTCGGTTATATAAGCAATGTCGGTGCGGTTAACGCGGCGCCTCGTTCGTTGTTTGGGTACAATGGAAAAGGCATATCAAAACCCGTAATAGAAGCGCCGAACAACCTGTTTACACCGGCGACATCTGGTGTGCATCAAGGGAAGATAAGTAAGGCAGACGTAGGTCGCCGTAGGGTCGTAAACAAAACTGACTCTCCCAAGAGTCGATTGTTCGGAATGCTGGCTTAAATGGACGTGTTGGTCGGGGACGAGATGGTTGACGGAGAAATATAAACAAGGTGGATCTGTTTGAAGCTACAAATTAATATTACCTGTTATATATATATATGGAGGTATGTAGAAAAATAGGAAAGAACACGGAGTTGTATTTTTGTTTTTATTTAAAAAAAAAAAACAGTGCTCCATACAAAAGTAGAGCTTAAATTATAATTATTTTTAAAAAATATGATTCCTTCGCTACATAAGAGTTCTCATGTTTCAAAAACGAGGGCCGAAAGCCTCAATATAATCATTAAAATTAAATTGAATTAAGGTATCAAGCCCTGTTTCATCCTCAAGTGAAAATTCAATTTAATTTTAAGAATTATATTGAGGGTTTCGGCTCTCGTTTTTGAAACATGAGAACTCTAGCGAAGGAATCATATGTTTTTAAAAAAATAATTATAATATATATATATATATATATATATATGTTTTTGTGTGTGTGTTAACTGAAATTACTATTTAAATAAATACATGAGAAACAAGTGTTTCTTTATGCCCATTGCGTTTAATCTGGGCCTACAGTCATATCACGTTGAAACACCAGTTCCCGTACGATCAGCGAAGTTAAGCAATGTCGAATCTGGTCGCTACTTAGGTGGGTGACTGATTGGGAATACCGAGCGCTGTAAGCTTGGATGTAAGAGAGGTGTGATGGATAATTCCACTTGGGTTTTATTACATTCTTTGCATGCAAATACCCTTGGCAAACGTATGGATCTATAACTCTTACCCCTTCAACTATGGGTTAATTAGTAAGACTTGCATCATGAAACTATTTTTATCTAAAAAAAAAATTCTTAAAATCTAAAAATATTTTCTGGCTTTAAATAACCTGCAACGGGTTGATAAACCGTAGAAAATGAATGAATGAATCAATCGTTCAATCTGTTTATATTTATTTTATTCTGTAGATATATAGATCTCAACCTTTTTCTTTGTATTTTCCACATTACTTTTTATTTCTTGCCTACCTTTATATATAAACTCGTCCATTATCTATCTATCTATCATTTTTTAAAAATATAATTTCATCCCAACAAGGCAATAAAGCCACTAAGACACAAGTGGTACTGAATGTGAAAGAATGCAAGAAAAAGAAAGAAAAATATTATCAAGTAGCGAGAAATAATAAATGAAGAAGAATTTAGGAGACCAAAGATAACGATTGACATCGCATTTACATTTTTTAACATCAAACTTGACTAGAAAGCAAGAATTTGGAAAAGAACTCCGAAAAAAGAAAATGTTATCATAGAACTTTCGGTTACATCTAGCAGACATATTAACTGTAAAATGCTGAGACCTAGCAGCCAATTTTGCACTGCGCTTAAATTCATAAAGTCTAGGTACCATAGAGGAAAATTCATCAGAACAATTATCATGATAGTGTTTATAGAAAAGACACTGGGAAGCTACATTATTGAGGTGGGAAAGTGACTGAAGCCGAGATGCCAAGTCGGGACTAGTAATATTGCGGATTTTTTTTATAAAAAAATTCTCAATATTACTGCCCATGGTCTAGTGCAGGAGCACCAAACCATAGGCAGCAATATTTATAGCATGGACTAATAGTAAACATATCTATCTATCTATCTATCTATCTATCTATCTATCTATCACAGTCTATCAATCTATCACAGTCTATTTACTTCAGTTTATTAATATATATCTATGACATTCTATTTATATCTATTTACCTCAGTCTATTCATATCTATCTATCTATCTATCTATCTGTCACAGTCTATCAATCTATCTATCCCAGTCTATTTACTTCAGTTTATTCATATGTATCTATGACATCTATATCTATTTACCTCAGTCTATTCATTTCTATCTATCTATCTATCTATCTATCTATCTATCTATCTATCACAGTCTATCAATCTATCACAGTCTATTTACTTCAGTTTATTAATATATATCTATGACATTCTATTTATATCTATTTACCTCAGTCTATTCATATCTATCTATCTATCTATCTATCTATCTATCTATCTATCTATCTATCTATCTGTCACAGTTTATCAATCTATCTATTCCAGTCTATTTACTTCAGTTTATTCATATGTATCTATGACATCTATATCTATTTACCTCAGTCTATTCATTTCTATCTATCTATCTATCTATCTATCTATCTATCTATCTATCTGTCACAGTCTATCAATCTATCTATTCCAGTCTATTTACTTCAGTTTATTCATATGTATCTATGACATCTATATCTATTTACCTCAGTCTATTAATTTCTATCTATCTATCTATCTATCTATCTATCTATCTATCTATCTATCTCTTTCTTTCTTTTTTTCTTTCTCATATGTGGATATTTTAAAAGTCTATTTCGGCCTCCTTGCAGTGTCTATGATCATATTTCCCTTTCGCACAGTTCATTCCCAAGGCCAATATTTTTTTGCGCAAATTTTTTGTCTTGTTTTTCTTTTCCTCTTCAAAATGTTACTCTCGATTTATACGATTTTCTGTTATTTTAATCAATTTACCCATTCCTTTGCTACGTTCTTTTAAGGTGTCTCCTCCTATCACTTTTTTTTTCTTTCTCTCTACCAACGCAACCTTGTCTTCGGCATTCGTAACGGCGATAACTGTCAACCAGGTTGAAAGCCTGAAGCTACAAAAAGAAAGAAAAAAATGGCTGACATACAATTAAAATACCAAGAGAGGACGCAAGTATTCTAGTTTCATGTTTTATTTTGGTTTTACTGGTATTTATTTGTTTTGTTGTTTTATTAAGTTAAGTCCAGTTGGGAGTCACAATCGCGGAATTCCTTGGGAAGATCGAACGTTTTACATTAGCAAAGGTTCGAGAAAAATGAGCTGATAAACAATTTCCCTATCTTAACGACCATTTTGTCTGACTTTGTGTGTTTCGTGTGTGGCTTTTTTGGTTGGCTACGTCCTATGAAAGAAAAAACAAAATAAAACGGATTGAATGCAAGGAGCACGAAATAACACTCTCAGCATCCGGATCTAAGACATATTTTGACATTCCTACTGTTTGGAATCCAATGAAATGACCTTTTCTCGACTAGCTCCTTCTTCAATATATATATATATATATATATATATATATATATATATATATATATATATATACAATATACAATAACGAACGAAAATCTTGGTAATCCGTATGTATAATGCCAAGGAGGATGAAATAAGTTTTTATAATAATAATAATAGTTTATATAAATATAAAAGTGAACATAGAAGTCAACACTTAGAGGCGACAGTCTGTTTCATGCTATATGCAATCGTCAGGCCATATATGCAATCGTCATTGCATATAGCATGAAACAGACTGTCGCCTCTAAGTGTTGACTTCTATGTTCACTTTTATATTTACACACGCTCTATCTCTGATCTGATATTGACCACTTTTATCCCATAAATATAGCACATCTTAAGACTATATTTCTTCATAATAATTTATATATATATATATATATATATATATATATATATAATTTATTTGTCATATATGTATATTTAATTTATTTGTCATATATACATATATAATCTGTCATATATATATTTATTTGTCATATATATATATATATATATATACACGATGCGTTCCAAAAGTCACGCAATTTTTCTAGATGTTACCTTCAACCTAAGAAATGGCACATATAAACCATATATAAAACCCAATGATAAACCACTCTATATACACACATCTTCCAACCACCCGCCTTCTATAATCAAACAGATGCCAAAATCGATTAACCGCAGGATTTCCGACAATTCCTCCAATGAATCCATATTTAACAAAGCTAAGAAAGGCTATCAAACATCCCTAAAAGATAGTGGATTCCCAGCAACACTCACATACTCACCACAGAACACAAAAAAGGCCAACAGGAAAAGAAATATCATATGGTTCAACCCATCGTACAGCAAAAAAAAAAAACACAAAAAAACGTAAAAACAAACGTAGGAAAAATATTCTTCAAACTCTTACACAAACACTTCCCAGAATCCAGCACCCTACACAAAATATTCAACAAAAACACAGTAAAAATCAGCTACAGTTGCACCGAGAACATGGCACAAATAATAAAAAAGCACAACAGGAAAATTATCAGCAAACCACACGAACACATTAAACCCACGTGCAACTGTAGAATAAAGAACGAATGTCCCTCAAGCGGTAATTGTTTACAAAACAACGTAATATACCAGGCCACGATAAAATCACCAAATAATGAAGAAAAACTATACATAGGAGTAACTGAAGGACCCTGGAAACAAAGAAATTATACACACAAAACATCTTTCACAAATAGTAAATATGCGAGCAGCACAATGCTTTCTAAGTATATCTGGGAAATTAAAAACAAAACGCACATCACACCAAAAATATCTTGGAAAATAAGGAAAAGATCATCAGCCTACAACAACCAATCAAAAACCTGCAAACTTTGCTTGGAGGAAAAAATAGCTATCATTACTTTCCCAGACCAAAATAAATTATTAAATAAAAAATCCTAGCTCATCTCAAAATGCAGATATGAAAACAAATTTTTACTACATTATTTAAAAATCGAAAACGGAAAAAATAAAATAAAATAAAAATAAATAAACAAAATAAAAATAAAATAAGCAAAATTAATTAACCCAAACAAATTACCAAATCACATCTCTCAGAATAGACGAAATAGAATAAAAACCAAAAAAAAAAAACCAAGAAAAACAATGAACCCAAATAAATAAAGTAAATAATAAACAAATTATCAAACCATTATGACTAAAATATTAGTTAGACTATAAAATCAACCCAAAAAATCGGACGAAAAACATAGCTATAACTGTTATATAACGATAAAAAATACTACGTTACTTAAAAATCGAAAACCGAAAAGAGAAAATATACAGTATAACAAATAAATAATAACAAGTAAAATAAATTAACATAAATTCATCCAAATAAATAAATAAACTAATCCCGATAAATTAACCGTTAGAAAAAACAAATAAGATAATCAATCCAAATAAATACATGAAGTAATAAACAAATTAAAAACTGTTCCTGCCAAAATAATAGTTAGAATAAACTACAGCAATCAACCCCAAAATTGAATAAATAGCTTTAATTATCTTCCCAAACCAAAACAAAACTATTAAATAAGCGATATAAACAAATTTTTACTACGTTAATAAAAACACCGATTAAAAAATAATAAATAAATATATAAGATAAGAAATAAAAAAAAAAATAAAAATAAATTAAAACAAGCAAAATAATTTAACCCAAATAAATAAACCACTTCCGGTAAAATAACCGCCAAAATAAGACTACCCACAATGCACCACTGACCCGTATATATATAAATACCCGAGAAAAACAACAGCACCCACGTGACCTGACGATTGCATCTAGCATGAAACAGACTGTCGCCTCTAAGTGTTGACTTCTATGTTCACTTTTATATATAGACACACACACACACACACACATATATATATATATTACATTATTACACCTTTAGTGCTGATTTTTATTTACATTTAAATACATAGAGATATATTGTGGCTATTTTGATGAATAAAACATTTCTCTATTATTGTATTGCTGTGTTTTCACCTGAAATTTACAACATACGTTTATGCAACAAATTTATTATAATCAATAACATTTCAATAAATAATTATATCTTTAGTTCAAATTTTGATTTAATGTATATTGTAAGGGAAATTAACTGTTATTTTTATCAGCAGTACGATTGTAACACTATAAGCTTTTTTTTTTGTATTGGGGTGTGTTAACTTTTCAAGGGATTATCAATTTTCGGAAATCCAAGGTGATTACCGCAGGGTTAGTAATAAAAAATCTCTTTCTATAAGGATAAGAAGGCAATAGAATGAATCAGACGAAACATTGTGTGAGCCAAATAAATGATAAAGAGAATGTCCCTAGTTTTCTTGTATTATTACGAACACTTGTACTTCGGGATGGTAGTGTAGTGGATATTGGAGTTAGTTACTCTCGTCTAGTGGTCACGAGTTCGATCCTTGGACTACGTACCTCCTGAAAAATTGGATCATCAATTTAGCAGGAACGGACAGTAACTGACGTGACAGGGACTAAAATATCACAACAATCAACGGATATCCCATAGCAGCCAATCAATGATGATGACCAGAGTGTACTTGGTCGAAACGTTGCATCTGTATCAACCAAGATGAGAACATTAGTTTGAAATAATACAAGAATATTGAAAATTATTCATCTCAGAAATGAAATACTGAATTATGTCTCGAAAAATTCTTTGAAGAATTCATTTATTATAATACACCTTTTCTTTTAAGATTGTTACGTCACGAGTATGGTAGCCCATTATGATCACAATGCACACTGCAGTCATATTGACAGTGGAGTGTCTAGGCTGGTTTTCCTTCTCTAAAACTGATTGCCATCTCAAGTCGAAAGAGATTAATGGTTCTTTCTATTTAACCCATGGGATAAATATTCATACCTTTATATTTGTGTGAGAGTGAACATAACCAACTCAGCAAGGAATCGAACTCAGCGTGACAATTTCTTTTTCCGCGTCGCTAACCCGTTGCACTAAGCGTACAACTTGAGAAAGTCTGAACACAAAAAATGATTTACCAAAATTATGCTACTTATTTACCAAAAAAAAAAAAAGGAACTTGGTTATCTTTATCATTGTAGTTTAACAGCTGCTCGCCAGGTGGCAGTGTTGCTTGGTATCATATGTCGTACCACAGGCATTTGTGGCCTGTAGGAAATTTTTCTTTCAGTTCGGGAAATAAATGTCTGTTTATATTTAGATTCTAAATTGGTATACTACAGGAGTCTTGCTTTTTTTTATTTTTTTATTTTTTTTTCAATCGGTTTCACCCCATGCAAGGCAGTAAAGCCACTAAGACACAAGGGGGTACAGGGTATGGAGGAATTAGGAACAGAAATATTAATAATGATTGGAAAAAGAAGAGAGTAATCAGGAGGACAGTAGATAGCGATTGACATTGCATTTAAATTTTTGCAGATTAAAGTTAGTCGGAACGCATGGAGCCGGGAGTTACACAAGCGAGAAGTGCGTGCAAATAAACTGTTAGCATAGAACTTACGGCTACACCTAGCTAGCTCAACTGTAAATTGATCAGATCTCGACACCAGCCTAGTCTTTTCTTTCTTTTTATGTGCCGTGTCCCTTCAGGACGTTGGCGATCATGGCTCTCCACTTCCTCCCTATCCCTTGTAGCTCTCAATAAGTTTCGTACCTCTGCCACCTCCCCCCCCCAGACCACGTTCTGTCATCCACTTGCTTAAGCCCGTTAGGTATGTTATGCGTTGCTTTCCCTTGTCTTTCTTTCCGCCCTGTGAGTATCAGATTTTCCAAGCCCTCCTTTCTCATTACGTGCCCCAGAACCTTCAGCTGCCTCTTCCTGATGTTAAGTATAAGCCTCTTCCTTGTTTGCATCCTTTCCAAGACTTCATCGTTGCTCACACGCTCGGTCCATGATATCTTTAGCATCTCTCAGTAGAACCACATCGCCGTCGCCTCGAATTTCTTCTTCATCTTTGAGGAGACCGTCCAATATTCGCCGCTGTAAAGGAGGAGAGATGTCACGTAACAGCTCCGTACTCTTTAGCGTTTGGAGTGCGTCCCTGTCCATGCCAATACGGCTTCGGATCTCAGCGTTGCACTTACCGTCCTCTGTCAGAACACTTCCCAGATATTTAAATGTCCGCACCCGCTTGATTTTAGTGTCCCCGACTTGTAAATCACATTTCGGGCTCATCTTTTTTACTGATGACCATGCATTGTGTCTTCTTGTAGCCCATTCTTCTCGCTCTCCTTCGCTACCTTTTCTAGGAGATTTTGTAATTTCTTTTCCGTGTCTGCTATCAGTACTGCACTTAAATTAAAAAAAGGCTAGGTATCATAGCGAAGAGAGCTTTCGAACAATTATCATGAAAGTATTTATAGAAAGCGCACTGGGAAATAATGGATAGAGGCTCGGATTGAGTAATCAGAGAGCCGAGTTCGAATTCCAGTCGTGCTAATACCCTTGGGAAAGGTATTAATCCTCTTTATACTCCCCGCACCCAGTAAATAGCAGAACAGACTGGCTTCTACAGCCTTGGATGGCAACTGGTCAATTAATATATATATATATATATATATATACATACATACATACATATATATATATATATATATATATATATATATATAATAAAAAGGCTTATCCTTACTCTGTCCTGGACATTGAGTTCTACCTGGATTCTATCCTCTTGGAATTTTTTTATTCAAAAAATATATATGTATGTGTATGCATGTATGTATATATATTTATATATTTTGTATATCTATGTGTATATTTACCACTATATTATTATCTATCTATCTATCTATCTATCTATCTATCTATCTATATATATATATATATATAATCTAATTAATATATATATATATATATTAATTAGATTCACTTACGTGCTAATACCCTTGGGAAAGGTATGAATCCTCTTCCTCTCCCTCCAGCTATGGGTAAATAGCAGGACAGACTGGATTCTATAGCGTTGGATGGCAACTAGTCTAGGAGAAGGACAACTCTGAATTCAAAACCTGTGTAGGGTCTTTTGGGGCCCTTGTGGTATCTGGTTCACCATGTCTCTGTACTCGGCTCTTTAAAAAGTGTAGTTGGTTCTGCACAAAGCCTTCACTACTATAATCATATCATCTGTGCTGGTGTCTGACTGTCGGTTCCTAGGAACTGAGTTGCTTGATCCTCATACCTTGAATAAGATGGGAGAGTCCAGTCCAGTATTTATAGAAAAGACACAGAGATGTTTTAACATAATGTCAGGAAAGAAAAGCAAGGTGAGTTTTTATTAATTACGTAATTGGGGTAAAAAAAACCCAGCACACTTTAGAAACTGAATCTCGAGAGAAAAAAACCCTTCAATTAGAAAATAAATAAAACAGTGATTAAAATAATAATTAACAAAGAGTCGTTTAGTTTTGGTGTAAGACTAGAAGTACGGGGCGTTCAGTAAGGATCGAGTTTACCTGTTGAGGTTTGATGAAAGGACAAAGGATGAACGGGATTCAAGAGGACAGAAGATGGCGCTTGATTGTTGCATTTAAATTTTTAAAGATTGATGTCATCAGGGAAGTAATTTCTACAAGCAGGAAGTGCGAGAAAAATATTGGCTTAGAAGTGGCAGAAATATTTAGCTATATGAACAGTAAGAGTGGAATGTAGCTACCAATCTAGTAGCATGCTTAAATTCTTTTAGTCACAGCAGTCATCATGAAAAGACAGAGGAAAGCCACGTCAGGTCGGTGAGAAAGTGACTGCTGTCGAGATTCAAGAAGATAGAAGATGCCGATTGATGTTGCATTTGCATTTTTGAAGATTTTAATTATCAGGGAAGTAAGTAAACAGAAGGGAGTTCCATAAGTTGGAAGTGCGAAAAAAGAAATTCTTGGAGTAGAAGAGGCGGTGGCATTTAACTATTTCAACAGTAAAATGTGGGACCTAGATGCCAATCTAGTAGCACGTTTAAATTCATGTAATCGGGGCACCAGGGAAAAAAGCTTGTCAGAGCGGTCGCCATGAAAATATCTGTAGAAAAGATAGAGAGAAGCCACATCATGTCGGTGAGAAAGTGACTGCAATCGAGATGCCTGGTTAGGATCGATTATATTGCAGATCCTTTTTTGGATTCTGTCAGGAATATCAAGATGT